CCGCGCCGCGCCGCGCCGCGTCGAGTCGCGCCGAGCCGCGCCGTTCCGCTCCGTTCGTACATACACCGGCATGATGATACATGGCGGTGGCGGAGAAGCGGGCAGGAGAGGCCTTCCGCCTCGTACTAATTGACGTCATCGATATTGGTATCCGTCGACGAGCAGATTACTCCGCCGTAAACAACTCGGCCTGGCTCCCCCTCGGCACCTCTCGGCCCTCTGCGATCCCCACCGGTCCCCTCCGGTAGCCGCGCGTTTCGCCTGGACGACGAACCACCGTACCCACCGTCAGCACCAACACCACCTCCGTCGCGCGGCGCAAACAGGGATACGTAACGCGCACGTTGCGAACCTCGTTGCAAGTCCGACGGCCCTACGAGCCCCTATTCGCCTCTTCGAGGAGGCGCAGCCCCCCTCATCGTAGGCCCGAGAGCCCGTTTGCGACATGTAGTTTGATATCATGTTTAATGCGTTGGGGATGCTGCTGTTTTCAATTAACTCGGGACGGTGTAGGATGTTTTGTTTGGAAGTAACAGTACGGGAGGGTGGGAAGGAGAGAGAGAGAGAGAGAGAGAGAAAAAGAGTTCGACGAGATGCGGATAATCGTGAGAGAGATAATCGTGGAGCAAACACAATGCGCTACGAGTGTTTTCCAATGATAGTCGAGAGGAGAATACACAGGTAACGATTCGAAACCGGAGGTTACTTCGGGGATGGTTTGTCGGACGAATTTATGAGCGACTTTCCCACGAGCGCAGAATTATAAATTCGAGTAACCGCGGCGTGATAATGGAGTCGGACGACTCGCAGAATGATTGCGCCGTGTTGGAGATAAAGGATCGATTGGCTCAGCGAAATTATAGTGTCCAAACATTCTCTCCCACCGCGTCCGCAATTTCGCGTCGCCTCGATGAAGAAAGCGAGAGAGAGAGGGAGAGAGAGAGAGAGAGAGAGAGAGAGAGAGAGAGAGAGAGAGAGAGAGAGAGAGAGAGAGAGAGAGAGAGACTTCTCGCGTCGTTGATTCTTCGTCGCGGCGATGAATCGCGACTACCACACCCTCGGTATCTCGTTCGTACAAGAAAGTATCTAATCCCCTGATTCACGGTCGATGCCATCGCCAACACACAAGCGTCCCATCCGACTCACTCTATCTCCCGCGTTCTATCTCTGCCTCTCTCATCATTGTCGAGCAGCCTCATGATGTCGCTCGCTCTCGCGCTCTTCGCCAGCCCGTTCAACCCTCCCGCCTGCCCCGAAGTTGCCCGTTATCTCTTGTTCTCCTCGTCGCGATACACGCTCTGATACGAAAGAGAGAGAGAGAGAGAGAGAGAGAGAGAGAGAGAGAGAGAGAGAGAGATGGAGGGCGACTACGAAACAAGGGCGCCACGGTCTTTAACTCGCAAATGCTCCGCGTTCACTTTGCCGTATTAGATTCTAATAGGGGGACACATGCGAACCGAGGGGGTCGTTTACGCTAAGAGCCCTCGAGTGTCGCGACGCGTCGCGTCGCGTCGCGTTGCATTTGGCTCGGTGTTCACGGGGCGGGGACCCTAACTAAATCATGCGACGGATATCATTGCCAATTTCATCGACGGCGACGACGACGACGATGACGGCGATGTCGTTGACGACGTCGACGTCGTGGCGGCAACTAACGACAACCGGATCCGTTGAAGCGCATGTAACCGTCGCAAAATGCGAAACGAACCTACTATTGGCTCTGTAACCTCTCCTTTCCTTTCTTCGCGACATAATCGCAAGGATGGAATGGTTGTTAAATATCCCGCTCTTACTTTGACGCGCAGCTTTCGAGGGGATGATTACGACTGTGCAATTTCAGAAATATTTTTCGCTTCGCGAAATGTTGTTTTCACGATTTCTTGTGCTAGGTTAGCATCTCGATGATATTTAACAAATGTATGCCAGAGGATAACATTTTTTTCTTATCCGCCGAAAATTGTTGAATCGTTAATCGAGAAATATTATTCAAAATACCTCGAGAAATCAGTAGTCACAGACGGCAATGAAGTATTCGTATATTTCTATACTTCGATGTTCGCAAAATGCTGCGTACGAATTTGTCGTGTGATTTAGTAGCTTAGATTACACGATATACATCACTGGCAAATATTTCATTGCGAAAATTTATGCGAACCATCATGCGCATTACGAAGAGAAGTTCCTTGCCGTGTCGCGTCGTGAGAAAGATATGGGAGTCACATTCGAGCCAACGACGTTCGGCTGATCGAATATATTAACGTGCGGGCAATTTGTACAGCCTGACGGATATAACCCCTGAGAACCATCGGTGGCAAAATATATTCCGGAGATTACCTCCCGAAATCCATCGCGCTATTAGACGAAAAAGAAAGAAAGAAAGAACCAAAAAAGAGAGAGAGAGAGAGAGAGAGAGAGAGAGAGAGAGAGAGAGAGAGAGAGAGAGAGAGAGAAGAAAAGAGGCCCCTCGCGCACGAGCACCGATAAGATATACGTTTCGATAATGAAAAAGTTATAAATCTGGAATTGTGAAATGGCGGGTTGGTATAAATCTTCATCGGGCAGCGCTGCCAAATCCCTTCGTACCGCGCAAATCCCTTTCCAATATTGAAAAAAGTGATAGGTCCAGTATGTAATGATCCGGTATTACCCGCAACCACGAGGGAGCGGTATCGATCTATCGTTGGTATTCCTCTGGCATCGACCGTGCCGTTTTGTACATCCTCTCGCGTGTATCCAATTATAAGATATCATATCCCCGAATAAAATGCTCGTGCGTGCACTAGTGTCCGATCTCTCGAGATGTAAAACAGAAGATCGCGGAAATTGCGGGTTGTCGGATATTCGGTCGATGACGATCATAAGGATCAACATCCTTCGTGGATTGCCTCATTTCATAAAATTCACGTCTCTTGCGCGCTCTCGTTCGACGAGCTTTAAAAATTCGGAGTCCTTCGTCGAGGGGTTCACTCAATTTAAGAAGTAACGGAGAATCGTGGGCATGATAAAGATCTGTCGCGAGAGTTATCGCACAAAAGAAATCGCTCCACGATCACCCCTCCCCGAGAAAACTTTTAAAGAAAATCGCGCGATACCGCAAGATAACGCAGGATTCATCGCGGGGTTGCCACTGGTATAAACAAGCCCGCCTGCTTTTTTTTCTCTCCCCACCGCGAGCGAGTCGTGCGCGAAAGAGTACGCGGGTATATATTGTCGTAATATTTCGAAAAACGCGCCGGCACTCGGGGATCCGGGGGCAATCTCGCCCTCGAAGATGGCATATACGCGGAGGTGAATCGCCTCTTCCCGAGGAAATCCGAGGTAATTGAATGCTAACCCTCCTCACCCCCGGCGTGTTCCCTCGCCGCGCTCTCGCTTCGCGCAACCCCTCCTCATCTACCCTCCGTGTCGCGTCCCTCATCCACCGACCGCCCTCCTCACCCTCAACAACCCCCCAACCCCCGTGGGTTTCAGGGGGCGCCACGCTCGCACTCTCGCTCCCCCTTCGCCATCACTCACCGACACAGACTTGTAGCTTTCAATAAAAATGTAAATATGGCGGCGTAGAACGAGCCAATGACAGCGCTACATCGACGCCCGGAGTCCGTGAGGGATAGATAGAGAGGCAGAGAGAAAGGGAGAACCCTGCCCTACGGCAGGGGTTGAGGGCTTCGAAATGGGAAGCCGGCTCTCGGAAGGTTGAAGATGGCGAAGGATGAGGATGAGGAGGAAGAGGAGGAGTAGGAGGAGGAAAAGGGGGACGAAGGGCGAGAGGATGGCTTCGGATCCGTGCGGAACGTCGAAAATGGAAGGCGAAGAGGCGGTGGAGCTTGCGGGGAACCAGTGAGATGTCCAGGGAGGGGGTAGAAGGGTGCAAAAGCACCCGCGGAGGACGAAAGAAGGAGAAAGAGCGAAAGAGACAGAGAGACCTCGGGCTCTCTGTCCTTTCGCTCACCGTCACTGCGGCTTCACCCGAGTTTCACCCGTGTCTCATCCGAAGTTCCCCATTCTGCTCCCTCCTCTTTCTCCTCCTCCTACTTTTCCTATGGCAGAGCGAGTGCGAAGGGGCTAGGGGAGAGGGCGGACGCACCGTCGGCGTTCGCGAGAAAGAGAGAGCGACGCCGAGGATGACGCAGGTGCCGCAAAGCTTGACACGTCTCCGGCTGTTTTGTCACCTTCTTTTATCCTTCGAACTTTTTACCGGCTACCTCGTTAGATACCCTCTCTTCTTGCCCTCCCTCCCCCCTCTCTCTTTCTCTCTCTCTCCCTCTCTCTCCCTCTCTCTCTCTCTCTCTCTCTCTCTCTCTCTCTCTCTCTCTCTCTCTCTCTCTCTCTCTCTCTCTGTCTCTCTCTCTCTCTTTTCTCGCCCCCGCGCTCATCCCTCCACCCGTGGTGGTTTCGCGAGCAGGGCGCGTTGATGGAGTAAGCCGGGCGACGAGCGGGACGCTTTTTAAAATCGCACCTCCACGCGAGCGAACCGCTTTTTGCGGACGTCGTCGTGAAAGACCCACCCCCGAATCGTCGACGGGCGATCGCAGCGGATTTCTTTTTTCGTTTCGCACGGCGGAGAGATTTTTCGGCCACGTGCGGGATTATTCGCGACGCGCGAATCTCCGCGTCGAGGTGGTGCTTTAATCGATCTCTCCGATGTCAGCGACAAACTTGAAGAGAGAAATGTCTCTTCAACTTTTTCCCATCCCGAGAGGATACCCGCGATACAAGCTCAATGATTATCAGGATATTCGCAATGCGAGTCGCACAAGACTCCGCTTGAAACGCATTAAGTGACACATTTTAAGGGTTGAAGGAAAGTATTTCATATTCCGGAAAAATAGCGTGTGAAATTATTTTCCCGTCCGTTGGAATAAAACAATTAGCATTATTTACGGCACGAAAGAGAGAAAATAGAATTATATATCGAAAGGATGCGAGTAAACGACGCCAACATCATTCACGGATAGTTTATTGAATAGCGTGAGAAGCGTTATAAAGCGAGACGTTACCTTAACTTGCGATTCCGACATCCCAAGGGCGTACGCTAATTTAGCGCGCTCCGGGCCGGCTAGGTACTTGGTTTGCTCGAAGGTCTTCTCCAAGGCGAAGATCTGCTGTCCGCTGAACGTGGGCCTCGTGTGCTTCTTCTTGCCGCCATCGTGTTCCCCGGCGCCGCCGCCCGTGCCCGTCATCGCTTGCTGACAGCCCAGCTGTTGCGACACTGCAACATTCGCGTCACCCGGTGAATACCTTCTGAATATCCGTCTCGCTCCGTTACGAATGGAGTAATTAGCTCGAATGTGTATGGTGTACCTTCCGTAGAAGGGTTATGCACTTATGTTAGTGGATGTTGTTGCGTTTAATTTTGCTCCCTCGACTCATCTTTCGTATGAAACAGATTGTTTTTTGTTCTTAGCGTTCAGCTAGATTTAAGAATTTTTTTCAGTCGTGAAATTCGCTCCATTTTCTATTCGAAAGATATTCTCGAATATCGCTGCTCCCTCCCGAAACATCTCGCTGCAATAAACGCGTGCTTCTCCTCTTCTTTCTCTCTTCTCCGTTCTTCTTTTTTTTTATTTTTTCATTTAGACGTCGATATGATATTACGCCATTTGGTAGTAAACTCCAATTCTCGATACGGCATCGAGCGTGTCGATCGTTAAAACGAGAACTGGCGGATCGCGTTGAAATTCAAGTATCGCTTAAAAAACCACGGCGGAATTTTGATATCGCGCATCCACGACGAGCTGGTCGCTGCAAGCTTTCATTGCATTTTTCGGCGACCGCGCGCGCCCGCTTGTGCGTGCCATCGTGCGGGTTTCATCAGGGACCCCCTCTCGTGATCTCTTTTCGCAGGATGAAAAGGGGAAACTGCAAGCCCCATCTGTGACTTTCTGTCGTGACAAGTCGTGGGGTAATATTGCCATATTTTATTCCGTTACACCGACATCGATACTCCGGATTATGTAAGATGAGTGAGGCTGAGTACATTCATGGAACGAGTGCATGCATTATCGTTGCGTCTTCTTAATAAATTTGAATTGAAATTTTCAAAAAATGACCAATTTGAGCCCACACGCGATGTAAAATGTGAATAACAATAATTTATCTCTACGAGAAACCTGTCAGTACAGAAAAATACAAACAAAATACAAACGCTATATCCTCTTGCTTGGTCCTCTTGGTTTTCTTTAGTGATAAAAAACGTACGTAAATATATGGACTCACTAATTTCCTCTCACGTCATCTGATGTCAATTGAAACAAAACTATTTGTTCCTCTCGGCAACGTATCGTACCTCTTCAAACCATGAAGTAACTTTGCCTCAATAAGAAGAAGCGATTCTCAAATATTTTATCTCCGAATTTGTTTATCACTATTTGAAGGCCAAAATGTTTATGTTTTAATGTACTGATAGGCTTTTTGTAGCAATAAATTATTGCATAAAGTATTGTACTCATGTTTAACATCGTGGCTCAAATTGGCTACTTTTTGGAAATTTTGATTATTATTTGACAGAAATAATTCTTTTGTGTTAATAAATTTGATTTTGTTATATTGCCGGCGCGTGCAAATTATCTCTGTGCAGAGCTTGGCGAAATTTATTAAGGAGGTGCAACGGTGTTGTATGCACTTGCCCTACATACACACTTTACCCTCGTTTATTTTACGCGGGAAAAATATGCCCGCGATATATCTTCGGGCATAATTAGCTTCCATGTTATAACCGTAAGAAGTATTTCATTTTAACCGCAGTTCGAAATTAATTCGCCGTTCTCGGAATTAATTACGGTCCTTACAACGTTGGTAATTATTGCTGCGACCATTTAGTGTTCTCGCTTTAGCTTTCGCTGGACTCGTTGATACCGGTTTTTGCATAAAATATTTGTAATGTTTCCCTGATTACTTATTGTTTACCTAATATAAATCAGATGTTAGTGCGTCTCGTTGAAACGATTCGTTTTCAAATCCGTATTCAGGTCAAAAATACGACAGCACGACTCTGATAACGTCTCGATATCGCACGTAATTTCAGTAAAAATTAATATTATCTCATTCATGGTTATTGATTGTCAGCATTGGAGGGTGTTTGTCTCGCCGTGAGTACTTCGCGGACCTCATCTGAATCGCGCCGGCTGATCATTTTAATCTTGACTACTTAGTCGCGCTCGCGCGCGAGCTGCTTCTCTTAATTAGATCGGAAAAAAGAGGCTCGAGAAAATTTTTGGGGCTAATAGAGAGGGACAATCCGGTCAAGGGGGGTGAACGACTTGGAGTTCGGCCGCGGAGACGAGGGGGCCGCACACGGTCCGATGCGGCATGTGGGCGCGTATATACAAGGGGACGAGAGAAACGAAGGGATATCTCTCAGAGGGGGCGGTGGAAGGAAGGGTCGGCGCAGGGTCGTGACGCGGTACAGAGTGTGGGTTGTGGGACTTTAATTTAATAAAGCAATTTGTAACGGAATACGGAACGAGGCAATAATGGCCGGTCGGCGGGGAGGGTTCTAATGAGCTGCTTACCGCACTCCAACCCTGAGCCTTCGACGTCGGGGGAGGTATACGTTTTCCGACGTCGGATATTCGTCCCTCACCTCCCCCGGTCTCTCGTATTCGTCCTACTAAGCTGCCGCGCATATTTCCGCGGCCACCTCCGACAAAACCCGATAAGTCCGCGTTTTTATCAAAATTTGTATGCGCCGCATACGGGGCTGCGGGATTTCTTTCGTGGTGTAATTTCAGGCTCTCTTCGAGAATAAAGCGCTCGCACGGTGGTCGTCGTTGTTGCCGTTCGTGACTTATCGCGTGATCGCGATTGAAGACTCGCGAAGAAAATAATCGAACTCTCTTGATTGATAGTAGCGATTATCCAAGTTTTCATTACCACGAGGGATTTAATAAGACAGTTCAAGCGGAGTTCTTTGCAGGGGGGTTAAAAGTGAGATTAATTACGCGTCAAAATCGCGGTTTATGTGTACGTGGGCTCGCATCTTTCCTCGGAAATTCTTTCCGGATTTTGATATATCTTGCGATCCTCGCAAATAGCGTCAAATGTACGTGTATGAGGATGTATCGCAAACATATTATACTTTCATACGCGCGAAAGCATTTTAATTAAAATATTTTTTCTTGAATTTTTTTTCAAACGAGCCAGGTATATCCGGTGTTGCGTCCGGTCGACTCGGCGATTTATTGCCCGACTCTTTCTGCAAAATATTTTTTACGCATGGGAATTCGGTCCGGCATAGTATAAAGTTTTAACCCGACCACATCGACCATGCCCAATTCCAATCGAATCCGCCCGGTATTTCGTTCCGGCTTTTTTCCCCGCCGAAGAACTGATTAATACAATAAATAAAACGAAACTCCGCTTTTCCCATCGCCGCGGTAACTACCACTTCGCAGCCATCGAAATTTCCGCGTGTTTAGATCATATGTTCCTTCTCTTTCTCTGGCGTAAACGTCAGTGAGTAAAATCCTCAGAGAGGGAGAGAGGGAGAGAGGGAGAGAGAGAGAGAGAGAGAGAGAGAGAGAGAGAGAGAGAGAGAGAGAGAGAGAGAGAGAAGTGTCGTCCATTCGTCTACTCGTTTACGCATTACGTCGATCAAAGAACTATTTGTTTTTCGACACGTGGCCATATTTGTCGAGGTATCATCCTCCGCTACGCCAACGATTCCGGATTAATCTTTGTAGCGTGTCCGCGGCATGACGGCAGGTGGGTGGTGGGGCGGGGACGGTGGACGGAGTAGGACGGCGGGACCATAATTTAATCAGCCGATTTAGAGTGAACAAGTGACACGCGTGTCAAGCAGTGTATGCGAGCGAAATCGCTCCGGATAATGCGTATATATCGATACCCGCCTCCGCACCCACACCGCGCGCGGATACCGCCGCGGATAACGCCCCGATGTCCGATTAGACGAAGTATCGGCACGGGCAAATTGATGCGTCCGTCGCGCACCGTGTCGATGTAAATCAGCGGCAGGTGACCGTATCGGCGCGGCGTTTCAAAAAAGAGGAACGATCAAAAACGAGACATCGCGGCCATTCGTAATATTCGTTATCGGCGAACGGAAGTTCGGGTGCGAGGCTCGACGCGCGCGATTGCTCGATTTATACGGGGTGAGCGACCCGCGGTGTCACGGGCCGTTTTATCCATCCGTGAGTTCGGGGCGAAACAAATCATTCGCGGTAAAGATGCGTCGCGATTGGAACACGCGAAGGGAGGGAGAGAGAAAGGGCGGAGAGAGAAAGAGAGAGAGAGAGAGAGAGAGAGAGAGAGAGAGTGAGTGAGCGTGGCGGGGAAAGAGACGGAGGGTTCGATGCGAGATTTTTTTTTTTTTTCATTATTTATCGTGCGATTTTGGTGTTCTTGTTTTAGCACTGGTGAACGTAGAAAATCCGAGGTAGCAAAATTCGTAATTGTTTTTAGCCGGATATTTTTGCATCAAAACATAATATTAAGAGCGAAACAAATTGCCGACAATGTCTCTCTCTCTCTCTCTCTCTCTCTCTCTCTCTCTCTCTCTCTCTCTCTCTCTCTCTCCTCTCTCTCTCTCTCTCTCTCTCTCTCTCTCTCTCCCTCTCTCTCTCTTTCTTTTTCGACGCGCATGCATTATTCATCTCGCATTAATAATAACATTTGAGTGAATGCTAAAGTAACGTTTGCTAAAATAACGGGAGTAAGAAGTCGGGGGTTACGCAGACCGACGACGGTTCGTCACTTCGACGTAATTGAATCGGATGTCGCTCGACTTTGTAGGAAGCACGATCGCGCTCGTGAAGGGGCTGCTCGCTCCATCGACGATGTGAGTAATAACGGTGCGCATCGAGTCGACTGACGTCTGAGAGGAATGCTTTATCGAGTGTGCAAAGTGTGTTGTCACCAAAAGTAAATGGATGCTTAGTTAATTTGGTAACGAGGGCATCCCGCTGTTCGCGCGAGATCCATTAAGGAAGCACCGGCGCGAATCGAAGGGTCGTAGTCATTATCGGCAGTCGCAAAGGAAAATTGTATTCGTAAATGAAAATCTATCGACCTCATCTATAGATGAAGAACAAGTTTTTAAATGGAAAATGATATGTGATAATTAATTACATAAATTAAATCATAATACTCCGACATATATAAAGACATACCGCGCTTTTCTCTTTGCACAATCGAACATGAAGCAACTCTTGCTTTGCAAGAGTTCACGTGTAAGTTAGTATGTTACATGTCGAAGTCGATTTCTCTGATAACAATATGAATTTTTCGAGGCGCACGTCGAAAAGTGCTTCTTTCGCTTTCGGCACCGAGATGATGCCTCGTGAAACACACTTGCGAGAGGTTATTGGAAGCTAGTTGATCGCGGTCGGCACTCCTTGTCAGGGTGATCCTCTCTCTCCGTCGGTACCGTGAGTAATAACAATATACATCGGTCGGCGCGCGTGGACCACCGTTCGAATCTCGTCGCATCAGCGACGTTTTCATCACCGGGTTCGCTCACGTGACGCTTACCCGGGTGAGTTTTGTGTCCATAAAGCCCAAGTTTCCGAAGGAGATCGAGGAAAACCTAGAAGGGAGAGGGCGAAGCCGGTGGTGAATGCAGACGCGGACGGAAAAAAGTAGGAATGAGGAAAAGAGCGAGCGATGATGACGCGTGCGGTAGGAAAAAATAGGAAGGAAAATATATATATAGGAAGCGGCGGGCAGGAAAAACAGCCGTGCACGTCGTGGGTATCCAAATAGAAACAAGGTGCACGATATCCGACGTTCTCGTTATGGGAATGGGAATGAGGGGGCAAGACGTGCGGACGGATAGATGATATGCCCATCATTTTCGGGGAGAAGTTGCAGGAGAAGTTGTTTTATGCATAGGGTGAGCTGCGTGAGCACCAGATCGTGATGTTACATGAGGATTTGGCCCGGAGAATCTTCCGCGTAGGTCGCAGATTAACATTAACGCGAAAGTTGTAAAAGGAGTTTTAGCGAGAGTTCCGCTTATTAATTAATACCACAAGAGATTTCATCAAGAGAGAGAAAGAGGGGGAGAGAGAGAGAGAGAGAGAGGACACGGTTCGTTATAAATTTTACGTAGCGGCCGGTGATATTAAAAATCCGAGGGACGCTGTAACGAGATTTCGCGGGAAAAAAAAAGTAAGTACACAGAGTTTCGTGTTTCGGAAGATCTCGGGAACGAGAGCCCCTCGCTCGTGTCCGATTTGACTTTGTTTTTAGCCCCGGGTGCCGCGTGTTCTCAATTAAAGTTCCGAAAGAATACATCGAGACGATTATCGTCACCGCGCGAGAGGGTGGTAAGGGGATGGGTGACCGTCGGGATGGAGGTAGGTCCGGCTTATCTCGGGTATAGTTGTACCCCGATATATACGGTGCGGAGGCATAAATAGACGACGGTTCCCGCGGCGGTCGTTCGGCGATGCCTCGCGAGGGCCATGAGCCGATCAACGTTTCGCTCCGGAATATAAAATATACCGGGTAGCCGGTGTAACTTATATACGTTTCGTACGGGGAACGGGGTGTGCTGCTGTTTCTCTTTCTCTCTCACTCTCTCCCTGTCTCGCCTCTCCTGGTCCTCCCCGTCGCCCCACGGGAGGAGGATTCGACGAGAGGCGAGGCGAGGACGAAGCGAGGGGCGGGCGAGAGGGCCGAAGAGGTAGGTATCCGCCGCATGTATCGGGCGGTAGAAAAGGCAGAAACGGATGCCCCGATGCCGCAGTTAAAATATTGCCGGAGTTATTCGCGCGAGTGTGGGAAACGTAGCGCGCCGCTGGGAGGATGCGGGGTAATGCGGAGAGGCGGATAGCGGCGGGGCAGGGGTACCGACGGCCGGCGGTCGCTCCCGGGGGTGGGGGCAGGGTTGATATTGAATATGATGATATTCCGGATCCGACGCCGCAGCGGACTACCGCTACCACCCTCTTATTCGCCCCTACGGTACGTACGACACACTGGCTTTCCGTCGTGTGGCGGCGGCCACTCGAAAGCACGAGAGCACAAACGCACAGAATGCACACATACACACACCCACACGTGTACACGCGTGCCCACACGTGTGCCCACACGTTGTCCACGCCCGCGTTCTACACGCTGGCGTTTCGCCGCCCTCCTTACGTCACGACACGCCGCGGCACATGTGCCACCCTCGAGGGTTGATGTATGTGCCATCTCTCTTTCTCTTTCCCTCTCTTGCTCTCTCTCTCTCTCTCTCTCTCTCTCTCTCTCTCTCTCTCTCTCTCTCTCTCTCTCTCTCTCTCTCTCTCTCTCTCTCTCTCTCTCTCTCTCTCTCTCTCTCTCTCTCTCTCTCTCTCTCTCTCTCTCTCTCTCTCTCTCGCTTTACTCTACTTTAACTCTGTCTTTCTCTTCATCTTTACCCTCGCCGACCACAAACTCTTGTCGTCTCTGTCCGTCTCTCCGTTGTCGAAAGGGGACGACGCGAGACGTCACGTGTTCCTCCACTTTGTTTGTGATTTTTTTCTCTGCGGTGCCCTTAATCGTCTTCTCGTAAAGGCGGGGGTGTACACGACGCTCGAGCGATCGGCCGTACCGCCGGGAACGTCCCGGTATGTATGTCGTAGGGGATCCCGCCGGCTAATTGAGCGTGAACCGTCCAAGTGCCCGGAGGGAGTGCGAAGGGAGTGTGTCGGCACTTGATAACGATCGGGATCGATCTGGCGCGATCAGCCTCGACGGTGTCTACACGTAAACGAGAGTCGCATGGTCGCATGATAATGTCGTAGCTGAGACACGTGAGAAGAGCAGCTCAGAGCGTCACGAACACTCGAAACACAATTCTTCTAATGCTTGATGAAACAGTACGCGCGTGCGCGCGAGATTGTTTGATTGATGTAAAGTCGATGAATACGTGGCCTGATTAAATACAGAAGTCGATTAAATATATCGGAAACGTCGAACGAGAAGTCACGCATCGTTTGGCCATTCGCCTGTCGTACGATGCGAGCGCGTTGTATATCAATAAATTAGGAAGTAATAGATTATACGATTATTTGAAATTCAATTGGTAATTAGTATGCGTTGCATTATACCGGCGAAAGTTTGGCGCGCGCGAACTCGACAACTCGAATCAATTTTAAATTCAACGTCCGACACTGCTCGCGACGTGTACAGCGCAGTCTCGTCCGACTAACAGTTGTAGAACTTTGTTCGCGTCAAAATTATTCCACATAATTCCGTATGCCGTAATTAGAGCCGCATAAGCTCTCGATTAATCGTTATTGCTCGGGTGTATTTATCACATTCGTCGTCCTCATTCGTAAGTTCTTTCAAATTTTCGTGTATCGAGCGAAGGAATACGTGATTTTTCATCAGTAAGATACACTCTGATAACCGTGGTTGTTACAGAAAAACACGGGCAAACACGGTTGCGGTGTTCGAAGAAAGCTAAATACATGGCTAATTTCGGGCAGGTTGATACGACGAAACGGGCACTTTGACAGAAGCGCGCTTTAAAAAGAAAGAGGGTCGACCTGCGTCGTTGTCATCTACATGTCTCGTCTAGATTGAGAGTCCCCATTCGTGACCGCGAGCCCTCCGCGTCCCTACGACTTCCTTTCCCGTGCTCCCCGCTCGATGGTTTCCACGCATTTTTTAAATTCCTCCACCCCGTGGGCGACCCACGACGGGGAATCAGGCCGAACGACTTTCCGGGCACGCCGTTCAAACGGAGACACGTTCGGCAGCACGTGTTTCTTCACTTTGGCGGCCCTGTGATTTTCCCGCCGCGAAAGCAAACACGCGCAGCTGTCAATCTCGCCGTGCATACCCGGGGAAAACGTAACGTAACATCCGCAGGCGATGGAAATGTACGACGCCGACAATGCGCGTATTCAAGTGTAATAATAATAGTAATAATGTCCTCGTTGCTGAAAAGACACACGAGAGAAACGAGAGAGAGAGAGAGAGAGAGAGAGAGAGAGAGAGAGAGAGAGAGAGAGAGAGAGAGAGAGAGAGAGAGTGAGGGGGGGGAGGGAGAAATGCGGTAGGAAATAAAGTAGTGGAAAACGAGATATGGTCAGAGATGTAGTTAGTTGCATTATTTTTTAAGCGGCAAAAGTATAATCAAGTGCGATTAGGAAATGTTAATGTTACGAAATATGTCCAACAAATGTAATTACATTTGGTGCTACGTTGATATCGATTCGGTAGATGCAGGAATATCACACCAAAGATTTCGATATTAAACTTAAAAATTGAACTTACGTGTGTGTAATCTCGCTCGCCATGCGAGAGGATCGCTGACTAGTCCCTGAAGACCCGGCCAATAGACAGCTGGGTGTCGTGGTTCTGTTCTTTGTTGAAATTGCCCGATACCTGGAAAAATTGACAAAGGGACGCGAGTTTAATCCGAGGTCGTTTTATCTCAGAGCTACGCTTTTGTCTGTATCCTCAAACATTTTTGTGATATTTTGCGAAAGAGAGAGAGAGAGAGAGAGAGAGAGAGAGAGAGAGGGAAAGAAAGAAAATAAAAGAGGGAGGCGTTCAGTGCTTATCGTATTAATAAAGTAGTTCATCGCGATATTAGTAACGAGAGTGATGTATATTTAACCGATATTGGTATTACATAAGCGTGAACATAACATATGCCTCAGTTGGGCCGTCATTGCCGATAACGTTATCGGATTTACGATAATTCAGATAGCGGCGCATATTGAAGTAATAATCGAAGGAAACCGTAAAATGCAACGATGAGAGAGACAGACAGAGAGAGAGAGAGAGAGAGAGAGAGAGAGAGAGAGAGGAGAGAGAGAGAGAGAGAGAGAGAGAAACAACAGTGGAGCGAACGCGAACGCGCTTACTGACCGAGTGAAACAGCTTCCTCGGATCGATGTCGGCCAAGCCGTCCTATTTTTCCACGTAAAGCGCTTTATTAAGCCTCAGTTTTTCCCCCCGCTCGTTTCCACATCTACGCGATTCATTTCATATTTTTATCACTCGCAATTTTCATACAACTCGCATCCGCCCGGAATATGCAAGCGGAATTTAAATGCCGCGCAATTTTATAAGCCGCGCTACCTCGCAACAGATTTCGATCTCATTCTCTTGCTCTCTCTCTCTCTCTCTCTCTCTCTCTCTCTCTCTCTCTCTCTCTCTCTCTCTCTGCATTTCTCTCTCTTTCTTCCTCAAAACAATTAAATGTTAAATTGAGAAAACATCAAATACTCGACGTTTCAATCGCGCTTCAATCAACGTTTTTTTCCGCTTTTTCTCTATAAAGGAATTATTAGAGAGAATCTCTAGGTATATCTTTTCTTTTGGAAAAATTCGCCTATTTCTAGGCCGCTATTTGTAGCCAATGGAACTTCGTATCTATCGAATTCGGTGTCTTAGTCCAGATTATCGGCAAGCGCCAAACATACACACATACATGCACACACATGATGCCAGATCCATTCGTAGTCTCGAGAGCGGTTTCTCGGCACCTCTCGCTACGCGAAAACCTTAATGATCCGACCTCTCGAACGTGAGAAATTAGTCGACTTAAGCCGGGCTCTATGCGATGGAACGGCGCGGCGGTTGGGAAATCGAATCGGTAAATATCAGTCGTCTGGATCCCGCGGACTTTTTGCACGGATTAAGGGAGATTAAATTGATCGCCGGCATGTTTCTCCGATCGATCGAAACGCGCGAATCCGATGGAAGATGCGGCGGAATTATTAGCCTGCCGATCGCGTTTTGCGAGATTTATCGTTCGTTCGCCATTCACATGAAGACTAGACGCCGGTGCGGCTTTACGTGTGTCTCCGAAAGAATTCTCGTAGCTCACCCCTTTGCTCGATTATCAGATTCTGATAAAAGTCTGATATCTTATTGTCATAGTGTCATTAACATTTTTTGAATTGATTTTTCAAGGAATAATAAGCAGAGGTCATACATTCGCGAGCCTATTCGTAAGCTCCGCGTAGGACGACATTACTTTCAGCGTAAAAGGTCCGCTTCGGACGAGACTCATCAGCGCACCGTGATCTCTCGAGAGATTGCTGGATCCACATGTAATTGATCATCATTATGGAATAATAGCCCGTGGCATCCCCGATCTTCCACGCGGTCAATCTCGCCCGGGAGTAATCCGCGATATTCGCGCGCGTTCACTATAGAAAACACGAGTCATTCAGGGATCGGCATTGAAGAATTAGGCACGATCGCGATTGAGGACGCGGGGCTCCCGGTTGCGTGGGCGTTTAATTCGTTTCGGGTGCGTGTTCCTCTCGCCTATCCGCCGGACAATAAGGCGTCATTTCCATTTTACCGTCGACGGTAAACGACGGCGAGAAAGGGACGCGAGAGACGTGCGGAAGGATGCGCGCGAGATACGACCGACGCGAGATCGCCGAGGCCTTTTGTCCGTTACGCCGAAATCAGGCGGAATTTATGAGATCATAAACGGCTGAAGCCGCGCGCGCGCGCTCATCAACAAAAATACCCGCGATCGCGTTCTTTGTCCGTTGGCCCACGTGGCGGGGTCCGACGAAAGCGCGTCGCGGTGACCGGTGAGAGACGGATACGAGAGTCGACGGCTATCTCGATTCTTAAACGAACGGTGGACCCCCAGCATGCGCTTTTACGACGAGTCGTTTCACGAAAGCGGACGCCGCCGTGAGTCGGGCAATTAAAAGTGCTTAAAAACGTGTGTATACACGGTGTCCGAGAAGCCTCGATCTTAATGTCAATCGTGGACTTTTTTGGGCGAATCTGCTGGGCGGTCACCTTTTCGCTGTATCCTTTTCGTAGCTCTGTCGACGATCCATCGCTCGCTCGCGCACGCGTCTTGTAGCTTCCCGATATTTAATGTTTAACATTCAGCTCGCGAGACGCAATTAAGAGCCAGGGCACTTTTATATCCGTCTACAACTACTCTGACTCGCGAGGATCCTCTTGTGGTGTCTTGTCGACAGGCAGCTGCGTCGACGCGTCGATATCTCCGTCGACGCGGTATCCGCTCGAAATTGAGAGCTCCCGAGCACCTTGTGTGGCGTGTATACATGATACATCGCCGTGATTCGCCGGAACGATCGCGGAAATCACGATCGTCATAAATATTTGACGCACTATCGCGGTGAATAAGGCACGGCTGAAGCGGCGACGAGCGCCGGCGAAATATTTATCATTTAATATCGCACATTTTGATGGGCTTTTTGTCATTTATACAGCGGCGACCGCTGGTCTCACGCTCGTCCGGCGAATTTAATTAATGACCATCCAGTGTAAAGTCTGCGTGCGCGCGAAAGAGAGAGAGAGAGAGAGAGAGAGAGAGATCGGTATCAGATGTCAATTAGCGGCGCACGTTGCGAATCGCATAATCGCGCCGCGATGACGACGGCAACACGGCGATTTCGGAAAAAGAGAGCGATCTTTGTACGAACTTGGTGACACGGGATTGGGAGAGGCGGTGATTGCTATCCGATATCTTTGTGAGAATTTCTCTCAGCGATACTTAACACACTTTTGGCGGCTGCACTTATTTCTGAGAAAAATTTTCAGTCGCTGCCGATAGACTTTGCGAGGTCGATTACAAAGTTTCTAAAGAGACAATCGTTTTCCTTGTATATAAATTCATACGTCCTAACTTCATATAGCTTCTATAATGATATAACGTTATAATGGTATTATTCTAAATTATTTTTAACTTAATCGTTAACAAGATGAGAACACAACAATGAGAAAAATGAGAAAAAGGGAGGAGGCTACTTGAAGTTCACGATAGGAAGCGATAGGATATTTTCGCCAGCTATTTGTCGCAAACTCGCGATATGTTCGGCCGCGTTGCGGCACAGTGTTGCGTTTATTAAATTATTTCACTTGGTTTAATCGAATAGAAACGCCTGGCGCGCGACGTCGCTACGCTCGAATCGGAGGTTTGTTATTGATATGAATGAAACGCGACGCGGTGTTTTAGCGATCGAAATTTATACCGGAATATACATACCGGTGCGCAGCCAACGGAATACACATACATATGTATCCCGATGGCCATCTATAATTCTAACAGAGAGCGGAATTCGCACGCCACCGTCGTGTCGTAAATACCGGCAGCGCGCCACTGTCGTATTTGTAATCGACGTAATCTGTCTAATACGACAATGAAGTCGGTTACCCATTAAACCGTTATTGAAATCGTATACGATTACGCGAATTACGGCGGTAGTTTCGACAAGTGCGCCATTGCGACAAATGCCCGGGTGTATACAACGCGTCAACTGGCAACACACTGGCAAATATCGCGAACGCATTTGACACGATTATGATATAATTTCGATATATACGCGGCTGCTTTATCTCGTCCTTATGAAATTACGCTCGCGCTTTGGATATTTTTTTCGTGCCTCCTCTGTCTCGTCTGCGACTCTCGAGAAAAGAACTCTCGCTGATTTCGCGTGAGAAATATTCTTTTTCTTTTCACAACGACGTTTCGCGACGACTGATGATCTATTTCGGCGTATTTAACACATTGACTCTCCGTCGTCTATTACGTAAGCGTAGTACATTAACATTTCTGGAGACGTAGTATTACATAGGCGTAATATTATACCTACTGATTAGCCTTCAAAGATTAATAACACCGGTACCAGCTATGTTTCCTCAATGTGAAAAATTAATTACGTAAAACAATTTTCTACTCGCTGGCGCCACAGTAAGTTTTTTAGAAGACAACGTGTTAAATAGGTGGCCTTGATTTAAACATTTATTTCGCTCTATTTCTTTGAGCTTATAATGCTTTCTGAGAAATTTCCCGCAATCGCAGTATTTTAACGTTTAGAATGTTGCAGCAAGTGAATTTGTTCAAGAAGCATTTCGTTTCCCTATCGATTCGCGGCGCTCATTGGCCGCTTCGGAATTTATTCGCCGAGCAACTGCTTTTATTGCAAGCCGCGAGACATTAGAGGCGCCTCTTAATGCAGTTACCGAGGGCGACGCGATTGCGCGTAAATTTTCAGACCTCCGCGATCCTCCAGTCGCGTTGCTTAAAGGATACCCCACAGTCGCAAGAAAGACGCGCGTCGCGAGCGAAAAATTGGACTTCTCCAAAATTTTGCGAGCTGCGCCCGTCAGGGCGAGCGAATAAGGGAGCGACGTATAATTTACGATAACCGTAATCGGAACAGATGTCACGCGATGTTTTCGAGGTTTCTATTACGCGTGATAAAAAATGGTAGACACACGCGAGGAGGCACATGGCGCGTTAGGCGGTTTCTTTTCGAGGATCCTGTGAATATCTGTTTTCAGGACAAATATACCGCCTCATGATACTCGACTCCGGCGAGCAGAGTTGTTCTATTTCGGAACATACGCTCGTAGCTCGATCGACTAATTTCGTCATAAATGTCCGCACCTGCCGCGTTTTTAATCGCGATTTTACAAAGTACGGCTATTCTCGCGTTCCCGTGAAAATCGGAGACTCGTATTCGGCTTGATCGATTGATCGATCGATTGGTTAGTCGGTCGGTCAGTCGGTCGGTCGGTTCTTTTTCGTCTAGCGACGATTTTAAGAAGACATCGCGAAACGTGACGACAGTAACAAGCCCAAGTGGTTTCCACCGCAAAGGTCGCAAAAATTCGTCGAGTGTAATTCGTAACGAGTGGACGGCGTAAGAACGTAACTGCGATATTTTTGCGGCGACGTTTTCAAAATTGAATTGCTCGCGCGTTGCATCGCGTCCCGAAACGATTCTCGTTTTTTACAAGGATGCAGGAATGAACAATATTTACGGCGATCCGTTTTGGCGTGGCCGGGTGTTAGTGTCGTATATAGACACACACATATGCGCGCACGCACGCACGCACGCACGCACGCACGCACACACACACACACACACACACACACACACACACACACCACACACCACCACCACACACACACCACACACACACACACCACACATACACACACACACACACACACACACGCACGCACGCACATGGAACGATTCACTATTATTTCTTTCCTTTTTCGTGCGCTATTTTTGCACGCGGCATTAAATTTATATGCATCCCTTTAGCGTCACTTTTTATCGTCGCCGTATTGTTCCGCTCGGCGTTTACCGTATAGTTTATCGTAATGCGATCTTTTTGCACGCGTTCGACCGCGAGCGGTTTCCTGCGACCTCTCGCGAAATCCGAATTCGCCACCAAGCCGCGCGCGACGAGAATGGTCGTCAGTTGGTTAACCCGCAATATCCTAACTTGCTCCCGTATATGGCCGCCCTATTTGGCTATCAAATAATCCGCGTTCTATTGCAAATACAGAGATGCGCGATAAAATTATCGTTCCCCTCTCCTCCCCCTTCTCTCTCTCTCTCTCTTTCTCTCGCGCGCGCAGTTATCCTCCTTTTTCCTATTATTCGTCTATCGCATCGATCGTTAGAAAATTTCGAAAGCCCGTCACGTTATAATCGAAGTTCTTCATTATCTGTATGAAAATGTATCGAACTGTTATACGTTCGATCGAACGTTTACGACGTCTCGATAAGCGCGTTTCTATACGTGAAATGTACAAGTCGCGAGTATGCGCGCGCGGTGCTTAGCGATTCGTTATCGCGAGCGCGACCGCGCTCTTGGTCGGGAGCGAATCATTTAGAAATTTAATGCTATGAATGTTAAGTAACGTCCCTCGTTTGCGTTGCTCGTTAATGCGTACTAGGGGGGGAGCAGGTAATTCGGTAAGCATAAATTTTACAGCCATCGTTCCGTCCCTCTCCTCCCCTCCCCTCCCCTCCCCTCCCCCTTGCCACGCAGCTCCGGTATTTCTAGTCAATATTTCAATCAAGATCGCGTCGCGTTCGTCTAATTGCCGAATTGCCGTTTTCGTTATAGAGCCACACGTCGCGCTTGGAATAATCCGACCGACAATGAAGCGACGACGACGTTGTTTAATCGACTGAAATTATTTTAGAACACGAGAACACGATGTTGTTACCCGCGTGGTTCATGCAGTCGCGCGGTCGCTGCGCGAAACTTTAAACGAGGATGTTTTTACACGCAAGATACTTTGCGTGATATTTGAAGCAGGCGTTTTGTAATGTGCTTCAGCTGCGTTAATATTATCGTTTCAAGGGTCTTTATGGATGTACAATGCTCGCGATAGAGCTCGCAAACGCTGCGCGGAGAGAGTCCAATATATTTTGATCGACAATATTTAGGTAGCGTCCCATTCAGATAGAAGAAGCGACAGAGTCATTTGAACGGATTAATAGATTACGGACGATGATACCGACGTTTGTGAATTAAAGCCACGTCTTCGATATTAGCGCGATATTGTACGACACACGATTTGTGTGAGCAACTTCATAATACGACCCTATCTTCCCTTGGTCTCGACTGTCCCCCTGTCCTCTCGCCGTCCCGATAATTCTAAAATTGATGTCCGAGAGAGAGAGAGAGAGAGGAGAGAGAGAGAGAGAGAGAGATACGGTCTCCCGATGGTCGCGGAGAGTTCATTTGTGCGCGAGAAGAGGCGCAGAGGTAGGATTTTCGAAACGGCCCTTAAATATTCATAATCCGTTCCTAAGGCGGGCAGAGACAATCGCGTTCATTTACGCGTTTCAATTCACGGTCAGCTCGTGCGAATGTCGGACGAACACGGTACAGATTCGGCATAGCGTTTTTCACGATGCGGTCGATTCCAAGCGCCATCAAGACGACGACGAGGACTCCTCCCGGCGGGAGTGTTAATGACACATTTTCGCGAAGTCAAACGTCGTTGTCATTCGCCGGCGCGCGTAACTCAGCGCCGGGGAATTCATCAGCGGCACGGAGTCCGCATCATCATGTTTCTGTATTTAGCTTGACGCGCGGGCGAAGTTAAATGTTGCAACGGAAAGCGCGCTCTTGAACGTGACATCTCCCATAAGCTTTCAAGACGATGACAAACGCATTCTGCCTTGTGGCACGCCACCCGGCGGAAAAGTTATGCATTCGCGACGTCGCGCAAACGAGATCTTGATGACGCGGCGGGCCGTCAGCAACAAAATACGCCGCGGCAGCGGCGTTGTAAAAGTGAATCGAAAGCTCGCGCTTTCGCGCACCTCGCCGTCATAAACTTTTAATCGCGCGTGTCTCCGGCGCTTGCCCGCGGCTCGTTTCACATTACCACGAATCCTTGCACGCAGACTCGTCCAAGCAACCGCATGCTCTCGCGATTCTTCTTATCGCATCCCCGACAATATTTATAATTCGTTCACGATTCCTTTTCCTCTCTTTTTCTGTATGCGTGTGTTCGCCTAGAATCGCGCGCCGGAAATTTCTCCGGGGCGCAAGTTTTCGTTTTATCTCGCTAATAATAAATCAAGATCCGCGGGCGAAATGTGTCCGCCTACTGCGCTGCACGGGACGGGGTTAAAACAGGCGATAGTGATTCGCGCGCGAATCAAAGCGGAAAATCAGACTCCGGCTATGTAAATCCGTGAATTATACGCCGAGCGATCGTATCGAATGCACAGATAGTTTCGTAATAGATTCGTAGCTCCTAGTCGCGCTTTCGTCTGGCCGCGGTGGCGCGATCGACCGCCCTTGGTAATTCTGCGATTAATGCGTTCAATCCGTCTCGCATTACACGCGCGCGCTATCGCAGCACGCGACGATTTGCGCGCGCGGACCAGCGGGAGCCAGCGGTTTCCCTCCCTCCCGGGGTGATTTTCTATTGCATAAACGGCAATGGCGAATTGTTACCGTTACAGATGTTACTAATATCTGCCGGCATCAATAATAACTCGTGACGTTAATCTCCCGACACCGCGTACGCGCCAAGTACCCTTTAACAATATTTCCACCGGGGACCCTCGCGCTCGCGAGGTATAGATAATCTACGTTACTTCTCGTGAGGGGACAAATCTCGCTCGACACTCTGATTGTTTGTTAGAAATTAGAAATTGTTTATTGTTCAATGAGACACAGTCGATTGATATTCCAATTGACAACACGACGATATCCAGCGACAAACAAGTACGAGCCGTAACGGCTCTGGTTTCGCACAATCCGACAAAAATCGACCTTCTCACTGGGCAGCAGAAGTCCACCCTCTTTCGGCAAAAATCAACCCCCTTCCCCACCCAAGTTGTCTCAGTCCAACACGCGATCGAATTGAAATTTCCCCGATAGCGGCGATCCGGCGAACATCCCTCGAATTTCTCACTGCCTCAGTCGCGGATAAACCAACGTAAAAAATATCCCCCCGACTCGAGGGTTGAGCTTGAATCTGCCAAGTCGGACCCAATGCCTCGGCCGGGTGGTCCAGTGGTTCACTGATCGCGCAGACCTCGGACGCCGCGTCGTGTGGGTGATTCGCGCTACGTGATTCGAACCTGTCGTGCTTAGAAGTTATCGTACGCACCCGAGGACGCCGTGAAACCGGCGTGCATGGCATATCGCGGCGCCGCCATGTGCTGGGGATGCGGGGTCGGCGGTAGAGCCGCGTGCGACGGCGGTACCGGTGCCTGGGGGTGGGCCGCCGCCGGTCTCGAGAGTATCGTGTCGATTCCGTGGGGGTTGCTACCGACGGAGGTGATGGAGGTTGCCGGGCTGTGCTTGCCGCTGCCGGTTGGCGACGATTGGCCTTGCGTGATGGTAGACAGCGGCACGGTGATGCGCGGCAGTTGAATGCCCTGTTGCTGCTGATGCGGCGGATGATGCTGCTGATGCGGCGGCGGCTGCTGCTGCTGCTGCTGTTGTTGCTGCTGCTGCTGCTGCTGCTGTTGCTGCTGCTGCTGGTGTTGGTGCTGCTGCTGCTGTTGCTGCTGCTGATGACTCCTTTCTGCCATGGAGTGCAGCGCTGCCAGCGGCTGGCTGCCGAGCATGCCCCCGCCGGCGGCACTCAGATTGAGAAACTGCAGAACATGGGGCGCGGCCGCCGCGTGGAAGTCGTGCAGCCAGGGTGGCCGCGGCGGCGGCGGCGAGTGGCTCGTGGCAGGCGGCGGCGAGCACGAGCCCAGGGAGGAGCCCGCGGACGAGCTGCGGTCACCCTCCAGGTGATTGTTGTTGCGTCGGTGCGCGTCGCTGAGCGACGACGACATGTTCTCGGCGATCTCGAGTCCGGTCTCCGGCGTGGAGCGCGATGGCGGGTCCGGGCACGGGTCTCCGCTGTCGGCGCAGGCCTTGCCGCTGGTCAGAGAACACACCATCTCGCACCACGCATAATTCGGTAGTGAGCGAAAAATTTTAGCCGGTGCTTAGCTGCGTGCCGGGATGAGCGCTGGCGCGATCCGGCTGGAGCCGCGGAGTCCTCGCGCGGGGCTGATCCCCGAGGACTCTCCGGCGCCGCAGGAGGAAACGCTGGTCGCGCGATCGGTGCCGCGTCGGCACGCTGCAGAAGGTGTCCAGGTGCTGTTGTTGTTTGTGACGCGGTGACGGTTACGCTACGGTCTCACTGCGCGCGTTTCCCTCGGTCTCAACAAGCAACGATTCCCTCCTCCGGATAGACACACTGTACCGACCACACAGGTGTAGTAGTAGTAGTAGTAGTAGTAGTAGTAGTAGTAGTAGTAGTAGTAGTAGTAGTAGTAGTAGTAGTAGTAGTAGTAGTAGTGGTAGTAGTAGTAGAGTAGTAGTAGTAGTAGACACGTCCGACACTCACCGTGAACGCGATCGCGACTGCCACTATTCCCCCCTCGAGGGTAGGTTTCCCTTTCTCGCTGTTCTCTCTCTCTCTCTCTCTCTCTCTCTCTCTCTCGCTCTCTCGCTCTCTCTCTTTCTTTCCCTCTCCGCGCACGCACTGCCTCCCGTAGCCGGTGTTTCCGTTCGTTCCTCTCGTTTCGCGTGTCTCCACCTCGAGTCAGTCACTGTTCCCCATGATTTCGTGTGAGCGCACGACGCGTCGTTTACGCGCGACCGGCTGCGACCGAGGCACGACGTTCCGGGTTGCCGGTGGCGATCGATCAGCGAGAGAAGCGTAGTCGTCGGCGCGCACAGTCGTTGTGGACGGTCGGTTCACCGGGTCCGCGCGATGACATGGAGAACAGTAAACGCGGTCGGGGAATCGTGCTCGCGGACCGATGATGCCGATGGTCGCCCGCGGCTACGTGGACGGTGGACGCGCGCGCGCGCGCGAGACCAGGAAGTACGTGCCGCGACGACGATACGGGAGCTCGGCGAGTGACTCGCGTCGCGTCAGCCAAATGGTGTACGAGCGGGGTGCATCGGGCGCGCACTCTCTCTCCGGCGGGAGATCGAGTCTCTCTCCCGTGCCTTCGTCCTTGCCCTCGTCCTCGCGCGCGCGTTTCCGCGTTAGGGGAGATAGCTCGGCCCTCGACGCGAATGGATTGGCGTGTTGTCCGTGGGTCGGTTGACTACCCAGGGGCGGTACTGCCTCCGGATTGGTCGACCTGGTGGTATTTTAGCGGAAGGAGAGGTGTTCCGGGCGGGGCCTCTCAATCTCGCGTTAGCTTCTTGTTAAGCGTCTTTCATTGTGTGTTTAAATTCGTAATTTATGATCCCGACTGAATAAAACAAGAACTTGCTGGTTCGCTCGCTCACTCGTTCGCTCGCTCGCTCGCTCGCTCGCTCGCTCGCTCGCTCGCTCGTTCGTTCGTATGCTCGCTGCCTGCCTGGCTGGCTGGCTGGCTGGCTGGCTGGCTGGCTGGCTGGCTGGCTGGCAGGCAGGCTGGTTGGCTGGCTCGCTGACTGAACCTCTCTTGGCTGAGACTGGTTCTCTAGTGTGCTCGACGACTGGGCACCTCTGCACGACTACGGTGACACTACTGTCTCGATAACTTGCTTCCTTCGTTCCTTCCTTCCTTCCTTCCTTCCTTCCTTCCGTCGTTCCTTCACTCGCTACCTACCCATCCACCCCATCTACCATACCCATCCTCTCCCCCTTCTCGCTTATTCTCTCTTTCTCTTTCTCTCTCTCTCTCTCTCTCTCTCTCTCTCTCTCTCTCTCTCTCTCTCTCTCTCTCTCTCTCTCTCTCTCTCTCTCTCGCTCTCGCTCTCGCTCTCGCTCCCTGTTAGTCTCTGTGTCGCTGCATCCATCCAACCCGCTCGACCTCCACCACCACTCAGCGCGGCCTTCCAGCCAGTCAAGTACGCGTAGACAGAGCAAATCGAGTTATTTGCTGTCGATGGTCCATTTGACCTGCTCCTCGCCTACTATATACGTATGCCGATGCACGTGTCAACGAGAATTCGGTTACTTTATCCCGATGAACCATCGCCGCGGCGCGCAAAGTTACTGACGTAACTAATGTCGGATGAACTCTCGCCGGCTCTCTCCGGCTGGCAGCCGACCAATGTAATGTCGGCCGCGCTTCCGGTCGCTCACTCGCTCGCTCGTCTATTGGATCCGCGTTTTAGACTCGCCTTCGACCGTATGGATAATTTACGGCGGTCGGTCGACTGCACTTCGCGCTGTCGGTCATTAAGCGCCGCGTAGGCGGGCTGCTCTGTCGCCTTTCCTACTTTCCTCCCTCTCTCTGTCTGTTTCTCCCTACCGTGCACGTGCCCGTTCGAAAAAGAGCGCCCCTTTCTCTTTCTCTCTTTCTGTTGCACGCGCGCGCGTGCGCTCGTGCGAGACCGTTTTCAACCCTTAAACAAATTCCTCGCAAATTTCACCCCGCGCTTGGCGTGTGAGCTAAACATTTTTAAACTCCAAGTAAGTTCCTCGGTCTCGCCTACCTCGTGAATATAAATTCGCGTTGGCTTCGCGCTTTAACCGTAGGTAACTGGGTGCGCTACAGCTCTCGAGGACTGTTCTCTCCCGAGTATATATATATATGGAGTAAAATTTAATAAAAAATTTCACTACAATTCCGCAATGTCCAACTTGAGGAATCTTTTAGTTGCATAATAATGTTAACATGCAGTAATTTTAGAAGCAAGGGGGCAGTCCGGCACTCTGTAATATTCGGCGATATCCTGTCGCGAAGAATCGAGGATTCGCGTTATTGGCGTGACACTTTGGACGACCCGGTATATGTTCGAACGCGCGATACTTGCATCGTTAAATGCGCGCGTGCCGAGATCGATCGTTTAAGAGTAATTATGCTAATGCCGGCCGATTATGATGAAGGCTCGAAATAAGCTTATACAGAGTGTCATCATTACCACGTTCAAATACGTGCGTATTATTAATAATGAAACAATAATGGGTATTATTGAAACAGCATGTCGCAATAATAGCCGGCAAGCAGCACAGTTGCCGATACTCGCGCTGCATCGTATCAATCATAGTCGCATTAATAACTTACGGGATAGGGAAACTGCAAGCCATTTCTCCCTGAGAGTATCTTGTCACCCGTTTTCAATGCTGAAATTTAATCTCTCTCTACCTGATTCCGGGAAAAAAGAGTCTTTGCGCTTGAACAATTAGAAAAATATAATACACATCGACATCAATTGTCGTGTTTCTCAGCTTCCATCTTAGCACTTGTGCAAAACATAGAATATTCGTAACGCGATGATTTGCGCAAGAGAACATCTTGAAAGACCTACATCACGCAAGTCATGTTATTATTTTCACGCGAGATACCTATCTCCCGTGTGCTCTTTATTTAATTACCGCGTCGATTCATACATTTTTTGAGGGACGCGGACGTAAAATGGAAAGGACCGGTCGGGGAACGGCCTGGTATTCTCTGGCGGGAAGACCGAGCGGGATTTAAATCTATTTTATTTGACCCTGAAGAGAGGAGGGAAAAAGAGAAAGAGAGAGAGAGAGAGAGAGAGAGAGAGAGAGAGAGAGAGAGAGAGAGAGAGAGAGAGAGAAGGAGGGAGAGAAGGAGAAAGAGAGCGAAAGCGAGGGAATCGGTTCTTTTCACGGAGAAGCGACGTTGCAGGGGCGGACGGAAGAGGAATTCACGTCGTCCCTTTTTTCGTCTCGCGCTCTCGCAGGACGCGCTCCACGAAAATTATGTAAAACGCGGAGGGCAGTCAGCACGTATTGATTCCCATCGCCGGATGCTTTACGGCGCGTATTATTTTTGTCGGGCACTCTTCCCACTCGTGTTCTCGCGTTCCTGGTCACGCGTGCTCCTCGCGGAAGATCCGGTATTCGATTTTAGCCAGCGCGATCTTTCGTTACGCCATGCAACGGATCGCCCCGACGACGGCGAGGAACATTATTTTCCCAACGAACATAACACACACAAACACATACACTCCTTGTATTCCACAGATACGCGTAACGACGCGTAATAAAAATCCTCCACTTGGACGCTGGAATGGATTTTTTCCCTCCCCGAATTGAAGATCGCCCGCGCGATACTTCGAGCGCTACATTTTTATTTCTTACCGTTCGTTATCGCAATGTTTATCATACCCTTTGCATTTCCCAACGCTAGTGAAGACGTCCTTATATTTTGCAAAATTTTCCTTTTTGGTGTCCTTCTCGTTTCTCTCCCCCTTTTTTCTATAAATCGAGCAAGTCGCGCGAAAGATTACGAGCGCAGTCTTTCGAAGCGGCACGTTCGACGCGGCCGATATCCACCCTGCCAATCGAGTGGCAATAAAAGCGTTCTTATTTAAACAGACTCTCGTGGGATTATTTCGTATAATTTGTCAGGGTCGATAAGCTCAATAAAACACGCCATATGCCGCCGTATGCGGCCGCAATGTATTAAGTTGCGCGGCGTATCATTGCCGGCGTATCATTGCTACGGCAAGCGCGTATCTCTATCGAAAATGCACCTCGCGCTTTATCAAACTGTGAAAATACGACGTGAGGTCGCACGAGCGACGCAAGACGCGACAATCGCGATGAGATGAGCGCGAGTAAACACGTTGGACGTTGTATCGCTCGACGAGCGCGTGTAATCCCAAAGCGCGGCGATGTGAATTATTATCGCCGTATAATCATCATTATTCCGGCACTTTGGTCGCTCGTGCCGCGAGCGAGCACACAGCCGAATATTCTCCGTAGGCGTTCCCGGTAGGCCAAACAGTCTCGCACGCTTTTGACACCTCGCATAATCGCGCTTCGAGACGCAACGCGTGCACGGGACATAAATTTGTCGTTAAAAACTACGCCCATTATCTCGTTCCCTTTCGGCCGAAAGTCGCTATACAATTTCGATTGCTTGTATCCCGGGCCCAGCCCTTAGCTCTACCCCCGGTCGCGTCGGTAGGACCACTCTGCCTCTCTTTCCTAACCCCCGTGGACGCGATCCCCTTCCGCCGGAGGTCTCTCTTCCGTTATCCCTACGGTTTAGGGTGGAATTATTATGCAGAGACCAAAGTGTCCCATAAAATCGCGCAAATTACACGCTCGGATGTGTGTCGAGCTTCATCGTAGTGATTAACTGACAATAACGCGCCGAAAACCGGTAATTCGGCGGCGCCGAATTAATTGGGTATTTACCGGCGACCGCCTGCAGGACTCTTCGCGATCGACGTCGTTTGGGGTTTTACGCGCGTGTATCAGCTGTCGCGGCCGCTCTAATGCGTGACGATGGGTTAATTTATCGGAAGATTAGTCTCGATTACAGGCGAGAGAGAGAGAGAGAGAGA